TGTTAAAAATTGACAATAGCGCGAATATTTGAGGGGAGGGGAGGAGCTAACCCCTTCCCCCCCCCCCATCCCCAGAGGAGAAGAATTTAAAATCATTCTTGAAGCGCAATGGCCTTCGCATTGGCTTTAACGGGCATTTTGAAGCAAATTTGGTTTTTTTTTCAGTTTGCCTTTCCATCCGCTGCCATTCACTCCACAGCAATGGTGAAAATGACGCAATAGGCAGTTCCAGTTGTTTCAAACATTTGCAGTAGTGCATATGGTACTTGTCACAGATAGGAAAAACGCAGACCTTTCGCGCGAAATTGACAACAAAAGATGTTAATTATTAAACGCGAAATCTTGATTTTATGCTAATTCTCCCCCACACACCCCCCCTCCCCCCGCCACCCCCAACCCACCCATCTGAAAAGCAAGTCTAATAATTACCATATCTAAAACAAATTGTCTGTGGAAGCTTCGAACAAATTTTTATCTTTATTGGAGCAAAATGAAATTTGGTGAAATGTTCCAGGGAGGTTTCGTGCTTAAAAGTTCGAAATTACTCAAGGAATTAGATAACCTCACTTTTTGAGAATTAATGAGTTTAAGATGTATAGAATTACCTACCCAAAAAAAAAACAAATTTGATATACATATGAGGGGTGTGCGATAGACTTACCTCCACGTGGTGCATCCTGGGCAACGTATAAACATACGGCAAAAAATTTTATTAACCGGGAGTTGACTTCTCACTATATGTCATATTCGACTACTTCCATGGTACTCACCTCAACTTTTTCTACCATTGTGTCTGCCTGTCTCTTTTACATCTGTGAACCACTCTCCTGTTCCCCCTCCCCTCTCAACTTTTTTCAATTTGATGTACCTTCCTCTCTGTGAAGCCTGAATGGCAAATGATAACCATCAAGACGCCTGCCATTTGATTTAATAATATACACATGGAGAAATTAAAAAGTATTTCACTATTCTGCTTGAAATTAAATATCCATATTTATCTCCATAAAAGAGGTCGTTTTATAAGATGTATAAAAAAATAATAAGATCTGAGTACATTTAGGCAAGCATTTTTGAAGCTCAACTCGCGTAGATGGTTGTGTCATGGAGTCTCCCTGATGACAAACCTCCAAATGGGTTATCCCTTCTTGGGCCAGAGGGTGAGTAGAAAACGCGATCACCTCTTTCGCTCTGTAATTGTAAAACGAGGAGGATGTTCACAGTCTTTCCATCGATCTGTGAGAGAGAGCTTCTCTGTAATTATCTATCACCACAAGACTTATTTGGGTTGATTTTTGTGAAACTTTCCAGGCTTGTATAAAGAAATAGATCTCACTTTAACCTTGCAAAAAATGATTTATCAAAGAACCCCGCGCACTCTTCATTTAGAGCAAATTGTTTAAAATAATAATTATGACCATATTTTAGAAATCAGGAAAATTTGGCAATATCACTCACAAATACTTTCAAAATAAAGGTACTAGAAAGTCACAATTGAAAAAAAATTTAAAAAATAAGTCAAAAATTGTTAATAAAATTCGTGACAAATTATGTCTTCTCAATGAATTGACAACCCCAAAACAAACTTATTGATTGATCTTATTTAAATGTTGGTGTGTATGCATATCGAGGCTTGGCTGCTGGATATTGTTACGTCTTTGAAGATCTATTGAGAGAAGCAAATTGTTAGATCACAGACTTTCAGAATAGACCAACTGGCCAAATACTGCCCCATTTTTCATTACATTTATGCTACTTTTATTTCTTTCGGTACACTTCTTTCACTTCTTCGGCAAAACATATTTTACTTCAAAATTTTTAACTTCGAAAAAAGCTAAGTGCTGCTTTTCTACAAATGCGATTACTTTCAGTGCATCCTTTCCTTGTCATTGTTAATAGATTAAGTAGACGGTGATAAGACCCAACTCTAATGCTAAAAGTACCGTGTCTAAACACAAAGAAGAATAAAAAGATTTTAAGTCGACAAAAAGGGTAGCTACGAACAAAGGAAGCACGTAACAATCAGGAAATATAACACGTAGGGGAGGGGGACGGGGGAGGGGGTCTGGGGAGGGGTGGGGAAGGAGGAGGGGGGGGGGGGGTTGAGTCATATTGCCGAAAAATCAATAACGGTGATTTTTAAGAGAATATGGAAATTTTAGATAGATGAAAAAGCACAAACTAAACCATTTTGAAATTGCAATTAGGCTGCACGTGCTTGGCATTATGTACTTTAAATCAAAAAGTGAAGAACAGCAAACAAAGAAAAAAAGAAGGTAACGGGGGGAGGAGGGGGGAAGCTTGACTCTTACCAAGATTTGGATAAACTGATTTATATGGTAAAATCTAGGTAACATTATATTTTCATTCAAGGAAGAACAAAAACCAATCAAGTGGAGAAGAGATTTTGAAGATTTGTCAAAATTAACTGAAATATTTCAAATAGTCAGAGTTGGAACTAAAAACAAGAGTGGTAATGACCAGACAGCAAAACATAATCTCACGGGGACTTAAGATAGTGGGATTAAATTTAGCGCATTTAATTGCATGCGCATATTTGTGGATATGTAAATGTCTCCCCCCCCCTCACTTGACAGGAGCAAGAAGAGTGGAAAGGAGGGAAGAACGCTAACGACTCTAACGGACTACGTAGATGTGGATACTGCAGAGCTTAAATGACTTCCGTGAACTCAGAGTTAACCACAGTTGCCTAACCATTTACTGTCGCTACATTTGTAAGTTATCTATATGACATGTCCTTTTATATTATTCCAATTTGTTAAACCAGGGGTGTGCGATAGACTTACCTCCACGTGGAGCACCCTGGGAAACGTTTACTCATACGGTAAAAAAGTCTACTAACCGGCAGTCGACCTCTGATTTCAAACTACCATGACCCCACTGTATGTCATATTCGACCCCTACCACAGTACTCATCTAGCCTTTTCTCTGCCTTTGTGTCTGTCTGTCTCTTTTACATCGGGGAATCGCTCTTCTTTTCCCTTGTCGAATTTTTTTTCACTTTAACGTTCCTCCCTTCTGCTAATTATAACTATCAAATGCCTGCCATTTGAAATAAATAAATAAATTTGTTAAACCATACTCGAGTATCTAATCACATTTAAGCTAGTTGGCAAAAGACCCAATTACATTAATTTCCTTAAAAACTCAGACAGTTCTAATGATCGCTCTTGTCCTATACACCTACTTAATTCTCTCAAACAACAGCAAGAAATTCAAGGCCATCAGATGCATATTTAGAGATTAAAGTCATCAACCGCGTTAACAAAGATAACCAATCAAGAAATCTAAAAAAAAACTTTGAAATTTAATTAATTTAGCGCTGGATGTACTGACAGTTACCATTCTCCTCCACTACACCAAACTTTACCGATTAGAGAACATTTGGAGCACTCTTGATGTTCGAAACAGCCAGCTGAATTAGATAAGCCCGACTTGAGAGTAAGTGGGGATATTTGAGTTTCGACAGCGCAATTCTCTAAACAAGAAGTATTTTGGAAATTATGTGCTTGATTGAACTTAGAAATTGCATTAGTAATTTAATGGAATACATTATACCTACCCAGAATAATTAACTAGGAAAAGTGGTCAATATCAGTGCAATTAAAAATTTACTNTTTACTTAACTCATGTAGTTAGGAGGAAAAGGAGACATATTTATCTTTTATTTAATCATAAAATTAAAAAAAAGGCAAATTGTTTGAATGATTAATTACTCCATATTTGCTTCCGTGCGATTTGAAATCATTTACTTCAAAACAGGCAAATGCAAAAAAAGATTTACATAAAATGCTATTTGCGCAAAAATTAAATTTATTTAATCCAAATGAAAGAGCCTAGGAGAATTTCGGCATCTTATTAGTGAAAAAAGAAAAACAAAAAGAGTCTGTTCCTTGTTTACTGAATTAATTAATTCCTTTTCAATTGTATCAAAATCGAATTCTTCATAATAATAAGACGCTAATTTCGTATATACAAATTTGCATATTAAAATTTCATAAAAGAAAAAAAACAAATCCACTTTAAAATTAAATTTTACTTTAAATATACAAAGCAAAGATAAATTTCACAACAGATATTAGAGGAGATACTTAAAGATGATTAAACATGCCATTATGGAACCGCATCTTTATCAGGAAATTTAAGAAACTCTCTTAATTGGATAAAAAACAATGGCACTCGCATATACTCCCAATTATGGGTGTGCGGTAGACTTACCTCCACGTGGTGCGCCCCGGGTAACGTATGCTCATACGGCAAAAATGTCTATTAACTGGCAGTTGACTCCTCACTTCAAACTACCATCACCCCCTGTATGCCATATTCGTCTACTTCCACAGTACTCACCTCACCTTTTATCTACCTTTGTGTCTGTCTGTCTGCCACTTTTACATCTGTGAATAACTCTTCTGTTCCCGCCCACCCCCTCTCGACTTTTTTCACTTTGATGTTCCTTTCTCTCTGTGAAGACTGAAGTCAACTAAAGAGCTAATGATGACTATCAAAACGCCTGCCATTTCCTATATAAATAAATATTGCCAATTGAAATGGCAAATCGCCCAACCTTTTGTACTCCAAATATACACTGATGCTCATTTGGCGGAAACAATGGAATCCATCAAACTCAATATACTACAACAAAATAAAATACTTTTTTGCGGATGGAGGGGGGGTGAGACCCAGATTTGAGAGACTAAACGGAAGGCGTATAACCATTGGGTGTTTGAAATATCTCTTCAGGGAAGCTATCAACTTATAACATTATAAATTGAAATAAATTAATTGCAATAAGATAAAGTCTTTTTTTTCTTAAGTGAAAACCATATTTAAAATAGCATTAAAACTTCTATAATCATGAGAAGAAACGAGAAAGGAAAAAAGACGAGAGCTAAACACGGCAAACGATTTAAACCAAAGCATATAATATAAAATTTTCGGTGTTTCAACATTGAAAGCTAATTATACTCATTTAACTGACTAACTTTTCTTTGAAGCCTCTGATTTTGGCGCTGAAATTGTCCACGACTTGTCAGGGCGACTTTGATTTTGTGATTTCTTTGAGCCCTCACGTTTTTCCGACCAGCAGGGTGTTTTTACTAGATATTCTGGAACAGCGGAAGCTTCCTGACGTCTAGAATTTCCGATAATCTGCCCACTTCCGCTACCATTAGATTTGGCGTCCAAATCCTAAAATTGTATATATATATATTTGAAGGATTTCTAAGTAAATTAATATATTTTAGTATTAATTTATCAAAAAGGCACTATTATGCAAATTTTCGTGAGGAATAGTTTTCACAAAAATGTTAAATAGGCAATTTTTTAAATTATTTCTTAATCAAAACTCGATAAATTTTAATTACTAAAGTTTCAACACACTGTAAGGCGTGCCTACATACTGTAAATAAACACAACCTTCAATGTTAACTATCTCGAAACTGAATTTTCTTTGGAATCATATTTTTGGAAATTAAATTTTCAGTGAACTTGAAACAAATTTTACTTTTTCGAAAACAATTTTAAGCACTTTAAGCAATTTATTCACTTTCGTCAATTTATTGAAAGGAAATTAGATGCCTATAAACGTTGGCTATTATATGATGATTTTGATTAGCTTTTATATTCCTAATTTTAGATAATAAACACTTACTACACCTTCTAAAACTTTAGTATGATTAATAATTTCAATTCCTTCTTTTTAATCATTCTAATCACCTTCTTTTAAATTAATTATAACCACTGGCATTTTGTGATCACTAATATTTGATAAATTAAATATTAAATATTTATTTTTACCTCATTTTATACAATTTTCGCAAATTTTTCAAGAAAGTCAGGTACAGAAAAATTTTTTTTCACGAAAAACTTTAATGGAAAGATTACAAGCATTCAAGGGGATTGAAGTGCATTAGAGCATTCAAAGGGGAGGGGGGGAATTTGGATCATAAAAGGGTTAGTGGACCAATTGTATACTACTCTACCAGTTTGTCTGGAGGTAAGTAAAATATGAATTCAATCTATTTGTGTGCAATAATATACAAAGTGCTAAAGGCATCACTCCAAGTTATCTCTTTCTCACAAGGGCCCTATAGGAATTTCAGCCTAAAATTAAAAAGTTTAGGTTCAAATTTTAGAGAAAGCAAAAGAGAATTATATGGCGGGAAAATGAGAATTACAAAACACACAAATGGGTATATGTATATACAGATATAAGCATCCAAAAAGTGATTATAAAAATTAAATTTAAACAAACCTTTTTGAGCCTAAAGAAGGGTTTTAGTAAATTCATAATACCACATTGCTAAGACGAAATTTAAACAAAAAACCCTATGAGAAACTTTGCCCGATTAGACCATGATAGAATCTGGCCAATGGGAAGGTGGGTGTATTCTGATTGGATAACAAAAACCCGAGTATCTTCACATAATGCCATTGGATAAGCCAAGGTCAAAGTAAGTAAACTGCCTCGTAACGGCAATGCAGCAACATAGTCGAAATTTTCGGCAGCTCCCTGATTAAAACTAGTGTAATTAATCCACAAAAAACCAACCCCCTAAGTTAAGATATATCAAGGCAAATAAGGTATTTTGGCAGCAAACCAATCACGCATTAGACTTTAGAATAGCACCAACTTACAACAAACAATTTAACTATTAAGTTCAAGCAAGCATCATATGTATCTACATTAATCTACCACTTTGAACAGAATCGAATTGGTTTCTTTCTTAACATCAGTGTTTAGAAAGCAGGTTAAAGCGCATAAATCAGTGATCCACATTCGAGATACTAAACATTAGTTCACTACACGCACAAATAGCATCGCCCTTATAGTATTATTCTTATCCGACAATCGTCACTTCTATGTAGCTGTAATACTCGTATAAATTCGGCGCCAAAATCAGACAAATTCCAAATTTTGACATTCGTACCTCACTTAAGGACAAAGAGTCCGCTTCGGCCTTGAATTCATCATTGATTTCTTTTTCAAAAATCTCCAGAGCCTGTATTTCGTCAGATTCTTCTCCATGTAAGGGAGTTCCACTTGTAGATGTCTCTTGATAAGGTAGTGTACAGGTATTCGATGTCTCCATTATATCCGTCTTGTCCCTGGCCTCCATGTGTAATTTCTCCATGGAATCAAATATCACAACAGGAGGAATTCCTTCCGCAGCCAAAGTATCATTCGCATCTAGAACATAAGTTTCAGCAATGCTCTGAAACGATTCAGCATTCTGCAAGGAATCAGGGTCGGCCTTGTGATCTCCTGAATTAGTCAGGGGGTTCTCCAGGGTCACGGTGGAAGCCGCGGCGCTCATGATCTGAACACCGAGGTTAGGATCGCTAGAATTATCTACTACTGGGAGTTTTTCAATAGGAGTATGGAAGACTTCCACAGACTTGCTGACATTCTTTCCACGGATCCAAGTTTTGCCGAAGTCTTCAACCAAAGGACTCAAAGCTTTAACTAGCTGAAATGAGAAAGAATATCCTTTAAAGTACTATGACTAGATTATACAAGCGGTCAGGGAATCCCACCATCATAAACGTAAAAGAGACCATTTAAATTCCCCAATTTCATTCGTTGTTCTAGATGGAACCCACTATTCATATTACCTCATCCACTTTACTATTAAAAAGCCGACAAATACAAGAGAAGAGAAGCATTTGGTTGACCTAAAAGTGTCAAACTTCGGAGACTGCAAGGAGTAATAGATGTACTCGGATGCTGCTACTCAAGCTATGATTAAAGCCCAGTGACAAAAACACGGAGATATTGTTGTGCGTTGGTATTTGCTACCGTTCGCAGAAAAATTGAAGGAATATCAAATGGGTAGGCGGATGTTGGTGAGGCAATTGTCAATGGATCAATAAATGAGGGTATGAACTCTGTGCTGCAAGTACAAAAACAAACAGACAAATAGAGATTCGGTATCTCAATTGACACTGAGTTAGCGAAAGCCTATTGAGGCATTGACGAGGAATAGGTGGGACATATATTGAAACAAAAGTAAGGTTAAACCAACCCGATAAATCCACCTATCCGTCTTAGATATTCTGGCTTAAAGTAAGAAATTAACTTTTGTTAGAATTTAAATTAGCAGTTTGAAAAGATAATTAATTAACAGTGCGCATAAATCTTTAAAAAAAACGAAACCCTAAAATTTTTGGAATAGATAGATGAACAGAAACGATATTAACGATTATTCTATTAGGAAAAATATTAAATACAAAACACCTGGGAGATGAACTGAGCAGAATTTTTGTGAGTCTCATTAAAGAGGTAATGCTCATCCCCTCTCCACCCCACCCCACCCCACCCCACCCCCTCCACTCCACTCCACTCCCCACCCCCAACTCCAAACTCGGCAGATCCAGCCCAAAAAACGTTGCAATAACTTAATGAATTAATTCAGTAATTGCAAGGGGCAAGTACTTTCCTTTGACAGACAGACAGACACTGTCTTAGAAAAGAAATAATCTTTTTTGCGTCTAGAACGATGTTAATATTAATTAGAAGGCACATAGTTTTTTCACTCATCAATTGGAAAAGACCAGAGGTGGTGGCTGTGTTTTTCAAAAATGCTCACAAAAAGCACCAATCAGAATTTCAAAAAGAGTAAAAATATCAACACCAGAAACCAAGTGAGTCCGCAAAAAAATTTGTTTGTCTTGCAGTTATAATAGGATTGCATCCCGAAACAACTAGCAAAACAGCTAATGTTCAATTTAAATGCAGGAAAATAATTCGTTTCCTATTATGCTGTGGTTTAACTTCATCCAGCAAAGAGTACCATATTGTCTTCTCCCGTCCCCTTTTGGGAATTCTGTGCAAATATAGTAGAATTCAACAAGAAACCCTAGGAGCAAAACTGATCTTTACACGTAAGGGAAGTAACTTAGCTTAAAATACAACATAATGTAAGGAAAGCGCCAAGTTTCTGATTCGTTGAATTTTAGTAGGAAGAATTCTCTCCCCAACCCCGTAGGCTAGGAGGGAAATACAAGATGATAAGCAAATAAAGACAAAAATTGTCCCTAATTTCAAGAATAAATTGCGAATTCAAAAAGAAAAAAACCATCACAATGCATAATCAATAAAGACGAATAGGTCAGAAATTTTGCAGACACTAAATTGAGAGCAAATTAATAGCACTAATAAATGAAAAAAAAAAGTTTTCTATTTTCAATTATTGTGCACGTTGGTGGACTACCTAATTAAAAAAATAATTGAAAATAGCACTCACCGCCTCTTCATCACCATCCCCGCCGAGTTTATCGATTTCTGCTTCGACGCGTTCGAACAACTGTAGCTCCTGTCTCTCTTCGGGGGTACAATTAATCGGTGATGCGGGTTTAGGGGTAGGCGCTGTCATACCAGCAACGGCCTTAATCGCTGCTGTAGTAGCGGCTGATTGTGTTGCCGCGGCTTTGAATTCCTCGAAAATTGATTGGGTGGTTGATTTGGAAGATGTCATTGAATTGTAAGTAGCAGCAATACCCTGGAACATCTTTTCCAAAACGTAATCCTTTGCTTCTTTGTAAGACCAGATCTCCTGAATAAGAGGATCACAGATGGTGCTCCCGTTTAATATGGGTTTAGTTGGGAGCCCGATGATACTTGTGCTAGAATTCGTGGATGTAGTAGTTGTGGTAATGGGCTTCTTGATGCTATTGAATAGCGGTCGAGTTGGTTTCTGCCGATGTGTGGCTGCAGTGGCATGAGCATTCGGTACAGCTGGAGCTTTAGTGACACGAGTAGTATCTAAATCAGAGATAGTGGGATATTGATTTTATTTGACAAGAGGTACATCCATAGCACTGTATCTAGCATACTTGTTTAGAAAAAATTCCGTCTCCCCGTCAATAACAATTAGGACTCATTGTACGACGAATTGAAAATGAGCCTGTCATTTTTCCTCATAAATCTGAAGACACTAGATTGCTAATATTCCCGAATTCTTAAAAATCTACTTGAAGTTGCTTAAAAATGAAATAAAGTGGTTGACTAATTGTTACTATGTAGTCAAGTTGACATTTATCAAAGAAAGTGCGATTTACCGAATGTTCTCTTTAGGTCGAAAATTTTATACCAATTTGCGATACAACCAACTTAACTCTAAAGATAGTTGAATAAAAATTGTAACAGATAAAGACTTTATAAGTTAACCCTATTCCCATCGACAAAAAGTTCACCAAACGGTTCGACTGTGCATGACAGCAGATGAAAGTGTCAATTAACGCATTTAAAGCAATAAAATTCGATACAGACTGAGTGTTAAATTTTATTGTAATAAATTAAGTCATCATGTAGGCATTGGAGACTACTTGAACATTCCAGAAGAAGACTCCAAGGAAAGTAGGTATGGCTAAGTTTGCATGATTTTGCATTGAATTAATAGGGATGCGCGATAGACTTACCTCCACGTGGTTCATCCTGGGCAACGTATATTCATACGGCAAAATAGTCTATTAACCGGCATTCGACTTCTCACTTCAAGCTACCATCACCCCACTATATGCCATATTCGTCTACTTCCACAGTTCTCACCTCACCTTTTTTCTAACTTTGTGTCTGTCTCTTTTACCTTTTTGAAACACTCTCCTGTTCCCCCCCCCCCTTCACGTCTTTTTTCACTTTGATGTTCCTCCTCCCCTCTGTGAAGCCTGAAGTCAACTAAAGAGCTAATGATAACCATCAAAACGCCTGCCATTTGATATCAATAAATAATATAAATAAATACATTGAATTAATTACTACGGATCAGATAGGCGACTTGCATTATAGCCAAGTTTAAAAAAAGGGAATTTGCCAAGTGGTCAAAGAGCAACAACGACCATAACCTCATTATTTTCATTTGCCCACTCTAATAAAATCTACCGCATTTAATTCTAAGGAGACACACCTTTACATTCTAGTCTACATTTGGTCTTTGTAATTAGTGAAAATTAATACGCTTCCAACGGAGAAAGTCCATAAAATCGATATTTTCTATCCAGTTACAGAAATCGATGACGAAATGGCTTCTAAACAGCGGCAAAAAGTTTAATTACAAAGCCGGTGCAAAAAAACTCAAGTTCGCAATTAATTAATGATCACATTCCAAATGGCTCCTCCCCCACCCCCTGTTTCGTCTCCCGCAAGTCTGCACGAAGGAAAGGCATATGGCATACTTCGTACTTATTCGAAAGCGATAACATTTCTAGAAGACAAAAAAGACTGAGTAAACTCACTCTGTGATGCCAATGGCAGGCGTTTATTTTCCGACACAGTTGTTCTGGTTGGAGTAGCTTGTCTACCGCCGACACCGGACGCAGTGCGAACAGACGATGTGATTTGCCGTGTCACGGGGCTACCCACAGATCGCTTGATACCTGATACCTCTGAGATTGGTCCAGATCCACGCTTTAGAAGGGCACGATTAGATTGAACAGTTGAGGCCACAGGTGTTCCCGGAATATTTCCTAGACGCGAAGTTTTCACGGCAGAAGGAGATGCGGAAAGACCTTGAAAGGACACGAGAAATGCGCTAAAGTTCAGTTGGCTTAAGTGGAATAAATATGCGATCACGAGGATGATGAGCTTACTAGGAAGAGTGGGAGAAGCTTCAGCACGACCAGTCGCGTTCTTTCGTGTGCCGTTAGCTTTAGTTACCGCGGGGGTTTTAGAAGGCGCTTGACGAAGGGGAATTCGATTTCGTTGAGTCAGGGGATTGGGAGGGTGGGGAGTTTTAGAATTTGTTGACTCCTTTTTCTGAATAGTGGTAGCCGGTGTTATTCCAGTTGTTTTAACTGTAAATAGGAGAAAAACCATGAAAAATGTGTGCCAACACAATTCGATAGACAGGAAGATATTATATTGCATAATCGTTTTGATGAACTCAGAGATTTGCATTAGCATCGATTTTTTTATACACTCATCCGATCTGTCTCTCTCTCCCCCTCCCTCTCACGAACTCTGCCAAGCGTTCTATAGTACTTCAGATTGTTTGTTCCACACATTCCGAATTTTTCTACCTACGTCCCGATGCCTTGCACAAGAGCTTCAAACTATCTGAGTAATTTTTAACAGTCAATTGACTATAGTCCAATCCAAATACTGATTTTCAAAAATCGTTAAAGGGTTTTCGGTGTTAGCCTCGAGAAACTCGGTTTACCACTTAAAAGTAGATTTTGATGAGATTATAACTCCTTTGTGCTACTTATTTTATTGCCATTATTGCAACTAATTTTAAGGAAGAAATTGGGTCTATTTTACTGTTGACATCTGTGCTTATTTACTAAAACTAGCGATTTCTTATGACCGTCAAAAAATGGCCTTTTCAGCATATGGCACAGACGTTGATGTTGATATAACTTATAGGAGGTTAAAAGGCATACTTCTGAGCAAATACTCCATAGATTTACTTCATCATCATTATATCATCAACAGGGTATACAAAAGACTTCCTCCACGTGGTGCACCCTGGGCAGCGTATACTCATACGGGGTCTATTAACTGGCAGTTGACTTCTGACTTCAAATAAAAGTCTATCAATCGGCAGTTGACTTCTCACTTCAAACTAAAGTCTATTACCTGGCAGTTGACTTCAAACTACCATGAGTAAGTCTATTAACTGGCAGTTGACTTCTGAGTTCAAACTATCATGACCCCAAGTCTATTAATCGGCAGTTGACTTCTGACTTCAATTACCATGAGGTTTATAAACCGACAGTTGACTTCTCACTTCAAAATACCATCACCCGACTGCAAGTCATATTCCACCACTTCCACAGTACTCATCTTACTCTTTTTCCCCACCAGCGATTCAAAACACTAAATGTGCCCACTGAATATAGAAAACTTGATTGAACAGAATACCATCGCAACATTTATTATAAGCGGAGTAAAATCACAGGTGCGGGCTATCTATAACTTATTTCTACTATTCACCGGTTAGCGATGATTCAGCTACTTTACCTGCATAATCACCTTCACAGCGGTTTAAAAACTCGCCTTGCTTACACATAATTCCTAGAATTCCAAGTTTGGAACTGCGTTTATCGGTTGCTACCAACAACCATTAGTCCAAGCTCTGACAAAAGATAGAGCATTTTTACATTCTAACTCGGTGAAATACTTGGGTATCAAGTCAAGACATAAAGTTGGACTTAGTGGAGGCAAATAATTCCGTTAAATTCAATGTCAGCACGGACCTTTAGAAGCTACGGGGGCAGTCCCTGTGGTACGTCTGGGAATATTTTTAGGAGAAGCGATAGGGGAGGCAGCAGGTGACCTGGGAATCCCAGTCTTAGGTCGAGCAGGTAGCTTAGTAACTCCAACTTGACCCGACTTGGACTGCAGTCTGGGTGGTTCCCCAGCTTTTTTAAGTGGCTAAGGTGTGGAGAAAAAAACGTATATTAAGCTCCCAATACCATAATAAGTAATGAAAAGTGAAGAGGCAACTTAAGTTAAACGGAATATGCTTCTTACAGTTTTCTTATTAATTGGCGCAGTGGAAGGCCTATCGGTGGGAATGGAATGCTTTTTCTGAGATTGCTGTCGCTCTTGAAGAGCTCTACGAAGTCGCTCTGGAACGCAGACACTTCCTGATGCACAACTGCTAGCCCCTTCACCTTTGAGATCAATAGTAAACGCTTCAGCTTGGCGACGCGGAGTAGCTAAAAAGGAGATAATTTATTTAACTCATATAGGGAGAAAGAGTGCACTTGGAGAATTTAATAAACCACAGTATTAAAATAACCGGATATTAACAGAGAAGGGGGCTCTATAGTGAAAAAGTGCGTTTTACAAAGCAGCGTTAGGAAAAACTTACCTTTTAATGCACCGGTGCCATTAATAATGGTTTCTGTTGGTATCGGATTACTTTCTATAACATAGGTAAAGCATATTTCAAATGCATTCTCTAGCTATATGCATTTTTCGTAATAAATAGGCTACTGATAAATATGTAGTAAGCATTCAAAGATTGCGCAAAATTACCTCTAACAGTGGCTTCCAATTCAATTATAAATGATTCGGCAACTTTTTTACCCTTATCTATTAAAGTAAAAAAACCTTGTTAATGAAAGCTAAGCATAATTAGCTAATTACAGAAAAGCTTTTAACGAAAAAAACCAAGTATTGGGTAAAAATTAGTTAGATAAATTACCTTGGGAATCATTAACTTTCTCTTCAAGTCTCTGTTCATTTTCTACAAATTATTAATGAGGTTAAATTAAGACAATCAGAAATTAACCCCAATAATAATTCAGCAAACTTGTCTATTAGGTTAGCAGTTTTATACGCCTAGGCGTGAGAGTAAGATTCCTAATGAAGGAAACAAAGATTTCGGCTTTAAGGATTTCAAAAAATAGGCTAAGCTCCACAAAGTACCCCGACCAACAGAGTCATGTTCCCTTCTAGTCTTCGGGATCATTGACTCCCAACAAAATAGAAATTTTGTTGAAATAAATTTTCAGTTAAGTTTGATATGGTAGCCGAAAAAAACCCCAATTTGTTTCATTTGATAAGATCACATCAATTTAAAATGTACTTTTTTCCTTAAAATTCGCCCAAGAAATAGTAAAAAAAAACAACATGAAAAGATGCTCGTTTATTTTATAAATGACCTACTAAGCAACCAATGGTAAAACCAATTAAGAAGGTTTCATTACCAAGTGTCAATCAAAAGTACTTTCCATCAAAGGGCAAGTATTATAAATTACTCCCAACAGCAAGAAAAGTAGAAGCCAAAACAGGGTAACCTTTCACACCTAACTTCCAACTGCTAAAAAAAGTGTCACATTAATGAGTGATCAAGGATATCACCAAAATGGGGGCTTTTATATCGATCAAGGAGCACCTTCTAATTTCAATCTTACTTCAGCTTCATAATCATAGTTCTCATTCAATACAAACATAATAATACACCTTCGTTTTCTGATCCAAACTAGGTTCCCTGACTACAAGCCATCAAGACCCACGAGAAATTTAAAAAATGTAATAATAATAATAATGACAATAATTGCGCATCACTAATGTTTGCAATGTTAGAAATATAGGTTTGCTTGAATCTACTTTATAAAGGTCAGTTATAAAGACGACTACAGTTTTCTTTTCCACTATTATTTAAAAAAAAAAACAATAAAACTAGTGAGTTAAATTGAGTTAAGAGTGTTTCAGGCATAAATGGCTATATCACCTTTAGATCACCTTCAGAATCGGAATCGTTTGCATGAAAGGAAGAAAAAAAAACAAAATAGACGTTTTCTTAATCACGAATTAGTCCCCCTCCACCCCCTCCCCCCCCTCCCCCTCCCCCCTCCCCTCATTATAAATGATGGGGGTAAATGATCTCTATTGACCCATTCCCAAAATGTGGGGACAAATCATCTAACAGTTACACAACAAAACACAACAATATTACACGTAGAATGTGAAAGTCGCTAACTTGGCATACGTGTATTGCAAGTGCACATACTAATGAACTTTCATTAGTAAAAATTAAATTAAAGAGACAATTTCAGGGCAATGATGTGTCCTACTACGGAAGCTCGGAAAGGTGAATGAAACTTGTCCAAGCGCTGCTCAATCAGCATTAGGAAGGAAAAAAGTTGATGCTCAATTACTGTAGACTGGCCTTGCAAGTGGAAAGGTTCTTCTTCTAGCGAATTGTTAAAGCTAATACTCAACTCACCCAGGGATTTAGCCAAACACGGTGGGTATAAAACACATTGGCTGGGAAAAAGAAAGTGGTCATGCCAATTTGCCTCGATAGAATCTCTCTCTCTCACTCGCCAACTCCTGTACCTATATGTACCTAGGACTACACATATTCCCAATCTCCATGGCATTATGGCGCTTGAATTGGGGAGAGGGGGGGGGGAATTGATGTGAACTCAATTAAGCGGTTAGTATATTAAGTTTAAAAGCCCAGTAAAACAAAATTTGGGTCATTTAAAGACTACAATCAATTTCAAATCATTTCCTTCCAAAGTTGGACTTAACTTAAAAGCAAAAAAATGACCACTAAATACACATTTCCCACCAACCTCCTCCCCCCCCCCTCTCTGCTATTTGCTAAATTCTAATGGACAAAAAAACATGAATTTGCATTATTCCTAAGAGGCAAATAAATGAATAAATATCAAAGAATCACAAGCCAAAACGAGGCCGTTTTTTTACTCTCTACATGCAGAATCACATTAATTTACCTTATCAAGAATAAAAGTCATGATTGGCTTAACGCGATCACCAGCTATATACACGGTGCTGGTGATTACGAAATGTTGTACCTCCCTCGAAATGAGTGAACATGAAGAATAGGAAAAAAAATAAGACGTATGAAATGTAGGCAATTTCAAGGTGGCGCAATAAATTCTTTGACTATAAATTCGCGCACTAATACTATCAAATCTCAACACAAAACAGTCTATTTTTTTCATAATAGAAAAAAAGTTAGAAACCGCAAACACTGACCTTGAGGGGTAATGGAGGTGTGGCCATTGGGAGACACTTTGCGTGAAGGCTCAACAGAACATGGACGAGAAAGTGGACGTTTTTCCTTCTCTCTACCCGCAGCACTACCACCTTCGTCAGAATCACCGTCGCCCCACCAACTTGGCTGTCCGTAGAGTTCTAGGAAAGAAGCAAATCGTAGAAACAACATTTTGATTTCATGAAATTCCAATTTCGAAACAAAAAGGCAATCCAAATTTAAAAAGAAGGCTACTAAAATCGAAGGAAAACTCCCACGTATTGGCAGCATAACAATATCACTCATTGTCGATTTTTGTATACAATCTTATATATAATATAGCTTTTCATTCATCTTTCAATTTCTTTTGCAACCATTTCGAGAGGAGAAAAGGGCTGTTTTCCTTGAATCGAAGGCTGGCATTTCTGAATTGTTTTAATTTTCTCTCTCTTAGGTAATGCTCCGTGAATTGGAAAAGATGACAATTGAATGAAGCGAGGTCTGGTTTTAAATTGGAGAATGTGGGTGTGATTCCTGCAGTGAGCGGAGGGAAATTGCCACATTAAAGATGAAGTTTATTGCTCATAACTAATGTTGAAAAATAGTATGCCCTGATAAAAAAACATGCCGAATCGTTTCCCTTCACCATGTCTAGACAAAACCTGAACTCAAACATCTGTTTGCAAAATGGACGAATTATTACTTGAAATTACATGGGAACAGTAGAAATCATTTGCTCATGTATATATATATATATATATATATATATATATATAT